TGAAATTTTGCAACAAAACATTTTGTTTTTTGCAGTAAAAAAATAATAGGCAAAATTTACTTTTACATTTATATTAACACATATGTTTGGAAAAAGTGGAAGAAAGACGGAAATTAGTGAAAATATAAAAGAAACGAAAAGCTTTAACATTTTTTGAGGAATGAAGTATGATCGATTTTGCACTCATTAATTATGAGAATTAACTTTAGTGAAATTTTTGAAAAATCATTATTCTTCTTCCTCAAAATTCTTAAAATATATTGCGATTGCCTTTTAGCAGCAAGCTGTTGTGGTTTTGATGAACAATTAGCGGAAGAAGAATTAGAAATAATCAAAAGGATATTTCATTTCTTTCTCTCTTCTCAGGATATTTAGTTATTTATCTGTTTCAACAACATCACGATGAGATGAGATGATATTTCAGTTTTTTGAAGTTGTGGAAGAAAAGATTTGATTTTATTTTCTCTTTTGGTTTTTTTTGGAAGAGCCTTGAAACAAACATTGCTATTTATCATTTTTAACTTTGGATGGCGGCCTCTCTCTCTCTCTCTCTCTTTTTTTCAATTGCTTGGATCATTTTGAAAAAATTCGAAGAAAGAGAAAGGGAGGGAGGAAAGCATTTTAAATTAGTGAGACGTTTTCAATTTTACGATTTAATTGACAGTTGAGAGGGGGGTTTTCATTAAAATGGATATTACAATGATTAGCTTCTGATAACCGTTTGCTTCATAAAATTTTAATCATTTACTATACTGCTTTAATATATATATGTATATATATGTATATACAACAGAATAACTATGAGGAAGAATTTCATTCTTCTTGTTGATAACGCTCTGAAATATTTATATGACTTTTTTTTTACAAACAAAAAGCTTCAAAGGTAAGTAAGTTGAAAGTTATTTAATGAGTAATTAATGAGAAAAACAACAACCGCCTCATTTAATCACTTTTTTTTGAACTAACTGAAAAATCTGACAATTTTGGATGGTCACTGTTTGATGGTCATTCTTATAAGTTCGAAAGCATTAAAAAAAAATATTTAAATCTATATCCACTAATCAATCAATCGATCAATCAGAATTCTTCAGTGCAAAAAATTTCTTTTAAATTTTTATATTTACTGATCGGAATGTAACTCTTTACCAAATCGCTCGCAGTCCAAAAGAATAATTCAAAATTTAGATTGAGAGGTCAAACGTTAAGCATTACTTCACCATCTGTCATCATTTCAATTGCTTTTTGCATAAATCAGTTCAATTCTGGATCCATTATATACTGAAATCTTTCATTTGATATCATTTCATTTACCGTTCTGTTAAAGTTTATCAAAGAGGCATAAAAGTTTCTACGATTGAAAAAAGCTGGCTTAAAAAGAAAATGATTTTAAAAAAATAATTTCATAAATTTTTGTTCATTTTATGAATTCGAAAAGCTTTTTACGATTGTACGCTTTTTCATTGCAAGGAGAAAAAGCGATACGATGGATGATAAGCCATCAGCTTTTTTAATTAGCATCCATTAAATGCTTCTATTTTCTTCCTACAATATATATATATATTTATATGCATATGTCTGATATATCTGTGTGTGTGTGTGTGTGTTTGTTTGTTTGTTTGTTTATTGATATATGTGTGTGTGTGTGTATGTATCACATATGGTTGTGTATGGATGGGATAGTTGTGTATCATTCGTTTACTATTTGTTTTGTTTGTATGAGAAGAAATTTTAAAAGTGACATTGTCGTAAAAGATGAAAGGAAGGTAAAAAAAAAGGTAATTTTTTGCCGAAAATTTTTCAAAAATTTGTGCATAAATGTTTTAAGTTTTTTTCTTAAAAAGTTTCTTAATTAAAAAAATTAAATTTGAAAATGTTTCAGTTCAAAAGAAATGAATTGAAAAAGAATGAACCGCCCGAAATAATGCTATGAAATAAATAAGCTAATTAATTTCTATCATAATTAGCGAAAGATTTTGTTATTCAAAAATTTTAATTGATTAAATTAAATTCATTCTTTTGCTGAAATAGAACTCTTCACCTGAAGAAGCATCACAGCAAAAATTAACAATATAAATTGAAACTTACATTAAAATAATTTTGTTAATATGTATTGAACACTTCAGGAAGATTTTTATCATATCAAACTTATTGTTATCAACTATTTTAAATTATTTTAAAACCATTTTAACAACTATTATCAAATTATCATTTTGTATAGTGATGGAAGAGAAAAAGAATGACAAAAAGGAGTGATTAGGAATGGATGAATTTCATTTCACAACATCAAATCTGTCATCATTTAAAGCTTTTTATCATTTATAAAAAGATGACTCATCGAAAATATTATCAAGCTATATCATCGTTTAAAAAACAAAAGCAAAAAGAGAAAGAATTAGAAGGATGAAAAGGAAGTCATATGGAAAATTAGCATAAAAGAAAAATTGATTATTTGTTTTTGAATTATTTAACTTCATTTCATAAAGTTAGCATTTTCACGTGGAAAAGTTTAATTTAAAAAACAAAATTCGGGTAATAAATTTAATTAATTAATAAATTACATTTAAATTCGAAGCTTTTCTATACGTTTGAATTCGTAATTTAAAATTCAAATTAGAATCAAACATTTAATTTACATTATAAGATCGAATCAAAATATTTCTCACTGTTCTTTTCATTCCATTTAATCATTTATTGTAGCAAAAACAAAACAAATCAACTTTTATCATAATACCACGGAAAAGCGGGGAAGAAATATGGGAGAGAGTGATATCATCAGAGATTATTGTTGCCATTTCATTTTCTCTCATTTTTTTCTCTCTCTGTACTTTCGTTTTATGAGGAAATTTATTACCTTTTATTTGTATATGTTTAGAATGGAATTGGTTTATTATACAAGCAATAGCCGTAATTCTTGCCAGTTCACTTTTGTTAGCCAATAATTTCCAAAATTGCGTTCAACAAAATATTATTTAAATTTATTAATTAAAAAGAATATAATTAATATCGTTAAGGGAAATTCTGAAATACATATTTCAAACTTAATAATAATACTATGTGTAATATGAATTTCATCTTTCATTTGAAATATAATAATGATTTTGAACTGAGCGGTATATATTAAAGAGAAGTTCATTGTTTGAAAAAGAAAAATGTGTAAATTTAGCAAATGATACATAGGAATTTTGTACAGATACAAAAAATTCCAATAATGCTTTACGATTATTGTCGTAAAAAGAAAAATGTGTTAAGATTGATTGAACCGGAAAAATAATACTATTAAAATAACATGAAGGAATTACTTCATTTGATAAATAATGAATGGTAATGAAGAGATTACAATTTATAGGATTGTTTGAATCACTATATCCTAATATAACATTTAATGATTAAAATTATCTCTATCCTCATTTTCATACTATTATTAGATATTTCGATAAATTTCGCTAATCAATTAGCAATTCGAATTTATCGAAGTTTTTTTTTTTAGCAAACTATAAAAGTGCTTAAAAATAATCTCTTTGATTAAAAAAAAATATAATTTTGATAAAAGTTTTGGCCTGTTTATATATGATACATATAAGTTTGAAGTTCTTTAAAATAGTTCACTCCTTGAAATTAGTTGGTGATTTTTATCAATTCAGTTATCACAAATGCAAAATATATAATTCTTGACAGTTTTTCGCTAGTGGTACCACAATTAATAAATTTATTGTTATCTATGTTTGCCTTTACGTGTATATATGTGTTTGTACGTGTGCTTATCCATTTTTTCATTCATTTCATAATAAATTATCTATTTTATGTATACGTGAAAATACGACAGTATTTGTCGAAATAATTTTTTAAAAAAATTTTATTCCCTCTCAAACAATTTTTTCTCTTTCAATATGAAAATGTGTGTAAAAATGATATATGGATGATACGTGTGTATGAATAAATAAACGTGTACGTGTAGTATTTTACAAATAACCCGTTTGTGATTTAATTTTGGAATGATTGATGCTAAAATTTCTTCCTGTTTTTTTATTCTCAAAATTAAAGAAGTTAGAAAGAAAAAATATTTTTGAATTTCATTTTAATTATTATTATTTATAAAATCATTCTAATTCATATAATTAATGATTAGTGAAAGAATTTATTAATTATCCAAGAAAAAATACTAAAATATCAATGATACTATCAACAACAACTAATTATGACTATTATAAATTATCATTACTAACAACAAATTATAAAATATGATTATTTTATAATTTCACATATATTTTTCTCGACAATATTAATCTTTCATTTGTCTTATGTCCATTTATATTTTCACTGTAAAAATTTCATATAAAAAGAAGAAAAGTTAAATTAAATGATAATGTAGAAAAGACGGAAAAAGAAAAGAAGAGAAATGAGAAAAGACAAAAAGAGCAACAAAATAATTATTGTAAAGTAATAATTTGTTCATTGATCCAATCTGTCGGCTATTACTGACCGGATTTCATGGTGACCCAATCTGTTGGTTATTACTGACCGGATTTCATGGTCACTGGAATGTTAATCGTTGGATAGGATTTGAAGGATAATCGGTGCGGCAACTTACTTTCATCAATTATTTCCCTAAAATTTAATCACTTCTTCGTATCATACATACAGAAATAAAAAAAGAGATTTGCCCGATATAGTTAAAAAAAGAAGTTATCGAAGGTCATAATGTTATTCTCATTTATTTTGCATATCAACTAGATCATTTCATTTTTTTTATTCCTACTCATTCATGAATTCATAAATAAATAAAATTGCGAAATACACAGTTGTAAAAGTAAACAAGTATAGAAGCAAGCAAAACAACAAATTGTAGTAATCGTATAATTAAACAAATGAGGTAATATTTGTTAGCCTGATTTGTATACTTGTTTTGTATACTATTTGTATACTTGATACTATTTGTATACTTGATTGCAGTTGTCATTTAAAATTATAACTTGTTATTTGCATATAGTTTATTTAATTATATGCTAATTATATCTTCAGAACATTGCGATCAGACATTGGATTGCCATTTATGTGGTGTTTGCTCTGCAAAATTTTACAATGTTGAGCGGTTCATTGAACATAAGAAAAATTGTTCAATTTCGAACAAACAGGTTTAATATTAAATAATTTTTGATAATCGAAATTGTTAGTTTTTAATTTCTCATCAATCAATTTTCATCAATTTTCATTATTTCCATTCATTTCTAATTTTTGTATTTCAATAATTTTTAATTTCCGTTAATTTTTTATCGTTGTATTTTAACTTCTTCAGGAATATTTACATTTATTTCAGTTCTAATATATTCGAAAATTTTTCTTTTAGAATCCATTTTCATTTTATTTGATGTAAGCTTTAATTTTTCATGGGATTTTCATTTATGGTTGAGTTCGAATTAAAATAATATTTGAATTTTTCCTTACAATAAATAATTTCAGCACGAGTTGCAGAGTTCGGTAATAACATCAAATCCTGATGCAGAATCAGTGCCAATTGATTTGTCGAAAAAGCATGCTTCAAATGATCTCGATAGAAAAAGTATTCTAGACGACAAATCAAATTTGTTGTTTGATCCTTTACAAACAATACAATCTCATCAACAGGTATCGCATCATTTTTCATTATTTTTCAAACTTTAAAAATAATATGGCAAATATTTTAATTAGTGAATGATTTGAAATATATTGAAATATACGAACTGATACCATTGAATGGTAAAAGATCATCGAAAAGATAATATTTAAAACAAAATGCATTACAATGATTTTTCAAGCTTGACCTCTTTTTCCTTGCTCTAACATTAAGAAATGTTGAGTAGAACTGTCATTTGGTTCATTATCCTTTGTTTTAGTTGTAATTTCGAGTTAAACTATCTATCCTTTTGCTTACCACCCACTGCGTACCGTTCCGTTTCCGTCCCTTACAGAGCCGATAGAAGCGGGTGCGGCATTTTCTTTTTGACTTCTCTTAATTATTACCAATAAATATATGATCCTGTTGTTGAAGTGCTCAATTCTTTTTTACTTATTTGAATGAATGTAAAAAAGGCAGCTGTTGGTTGGTTCTTTAAATAGAAGAAAAAAGAGGTGCACTTTTTTAATACAAAGGGACTAATTGAAAATATTTAATTTTACAAATGAAATAATTGAAAAATCAATTTTGATAATATCACTCGAATATTTCGTAAACAATGTTAGTTGTTGTAGCAAAACAATAATAAATTACATTTATAATTGTTAGGTATTGTCTAAAATAAGAATAAAATTGCTTATTTAATCATTAAAAAAAGTTAATTAATTAGTTCTATGATATAAAATATTTCGTTGAACTATCAATAATAATTGTTGTCTGATAATAAAATATATCTAGTAGGCCTAAAATAAGATATATTTCATTTTAAACTAAAATTACTAACTAACCGATTAAGACTATTCAGATTTTTAAGTTAGAAAATATCATATTAATTTACAAAATTTATAGCAATTACTGGAGCTTTATGCACAACTAGCAGCAAGCCATAGTAGGCATACAGATTCGGAACAGAGTAGCGATGATGGCGGTAATACTTCTTCATATGTCTTATCACCTCCATCCAGTAATGGTATCGTGGAGGAAATTCATCCTTGTGTTGCTGAACGATGTCCACAGGTTAATTATCGTTGTTCTCTTAGTAAATATCATTCTCATGCTATCATTTAATTAATCGTCAAATACTAATATCATTTTTTGTTTTAACTTAATTCATACTTTCCAAAGACAAGTTTTCTTTTTTAGACAATATCAAATTTGAATTAACGTCCATTATTTTAATAACAGTTGGAATGTGTCGGAATTTTTGTATAGGTCGATAAATACTAATTGCCTGTTAGAAAATTTTCATAATTGACCATTTGATAACCTATGTTTTAACATTATTAAAGCTAAATAAAATAATGCATTCTTCTTGTTTTCCTTTCAAAAACTGCTAGGAAATAATTAGAGCTTTGAAGACGATTTAATTAAAAACGTTTCTGATGTTGATAAAAATTTTAGAATCGATGGTAATAGAAGGAATAGAATTCATTATATTATACTGAAATTAGATAATCTTATCTTATTCCTACCATTAATAATCGATTTGGGATGATAAAAATTTTTCAAGCGATATCATTCCTACATAATAGTTATATCATTCTAATCAAAATCAGTAATTAATGGTCTTAACATTCGGATTAATTAATGTAAATTTCCTTAATATAAATTAATTATTATAAATATAAATAAAAAAAATAAATATAAAAATTAATATAAATAAGGAATTAATATAAATTTAAATATAAATTATAAATTGTACGCAAATCAAACTTCGATGATATTATTATTGCTGCTATCAGAACTAAAATAATTTTCCATACTGAATGGAAAGATCAGGAAGGTATAAGTTTATAGGAGGAATTGATGGAAGCTATATACATACACAATTGAATTTAATTATTAATAATAACTTGATAAAAATTATACAACTTTCCTGTTGAATAATTCTTTTGAATTAGCAAATTGTTTTTTATTCTTAACATAAAGCATTCTTATAATTTTAAAAATATAATTCAACTTATTTGATTTGATAAATAACATACGGTAAAATATCAAATTTACGGATCATTTATTTCACCGAATGTACAAAAATCTTTTACCTTTTCAATATATTAAACCCTTTTGTTACTTTTAGTAAAAATAGCTGTAAGAAATGAAATATGTATTTCAAAAATCTTTCTCTTAAATGAAAATCATTTCATTTCATTTCTTTTTTTTTAATATTTATATTTCAAAAATTTTTCCCTTCTTAAAAATATTGCCAGTTGTTCGATAACAATTATGTTGTTTGACTAATTTAACTAAAATAAGCAAATTATATTTAAAACTTAAAAGATTGTAAAATAAGTGGAAAGAAATGAAGCAAAAGAAAAATGATTTATTAATTAAACATAAATATAAATTAATTACCAATTAATGTTTAATCAAAAATATTTGCTTCGTTCAATGAATTAATGAATAGCATAAATCTATCTGTCATTAATTCATAATTTGATATATTTGTGTGTGTGTGTGTGTGTGTTTTTAAATTAATAGAAATTACATTTTAATTCTCAATTGATTTTTGAAATATTATCACTGAAAATGTACTCATTAAAACTTTTAAAACTTTTTTAGTTAAATTTTTGTTTTATAAAATAAATTTTAATTAAAAAATATTATTTGAAAGTGTAAAAGAAAGAAAGAAAGAGCAAAAGAAAGAAAGAAAGAGAGAAAGAAAGAAAGAAAGGAAATGATAAAAAGTGAAGTTAAATTTAAACGAAATAATTAAAAGATAATCGAATGCAACAAATTTATTGAAAGGTTAAAAATGAAATGTTTCATTGAATTTTTGAAATGTTTATTAATAATATATATTTCGATTATAATATATAGTCAATAAGAGATTGAAAGGTAGCAAATATAATGATATGTTTATTAGGTAACATCGACTATGAGTGCTAATTTCAATAATTATGACGATTTATAATGCCGATAATTATAGAAATTACTAATTTCTTAGTTACGGAATGAGTGAGTAATGTTTGTGATAATATAATAGATTCATTTATTGGTACTTTGAATATTATAAATTTTTAGAATAACAATGCAACATTTTAAATTAATCTACTAAAATGCTAATTTTCTCTTCCTCAAATTTAACTACTAATTATTCGTCTCTTTCTTTTCAATAAATCTATCGATTTGAAAATTTTCGAAATATCTCTCTTTTTTTGTAGTGAAAGAATTTATGTATGTATGTGTTTGTTTTTGTCTATAACCAATTACGATTATTATCTTTATTTCTATCAAATTGTGATATTATCTTTAATTAAGAACGATAAAATACATGTTATTTTTAGCATTTCTCATCCCGTGGTGCTTTACTATGGCATATCCTACGAAGACATCCCGATGAAAAGTTATTACAATGCAAACAATGCGGGGAACGCTTTGCTGATCCTGAACAGGTACGTATTAATTACTTCATTACCTGACATTACTATCATTATCATTATCATAGATCATTTATTATTGAAATATTTCCATTACGCAAATTCGAAAATTTATTTGTATATGTAAATGTGTGTGTATGTGCATGTATGTGTGTTTGTGTCTGTGTATGTATGTATGTCTGTATGTATATATTTGTGTATGTGTCGTTCATTCAGAGCAAAAGGTCGTTACTACAATCTTATTTATTATTATTACGTTTATAATTATACCCATATCTGCTATTATTATTATTATTATTTTTACTACTATTATTATTGTCATTATTATTATCATTATTATTATTACTGTGATTATTATTATTTTTACTATTATTATTATTGTTATTATTATTTTATTGCCACCGTGATTATTACTATAGTTGCACATAAATTATTATGATTACCAGTTTTCTATTATATATATACACACACATAAATTTGTGTGTAAGAGAATTCAGTATCATATTCTGCCGATTTTTGCTGATATTACTTTCTTCTTAAAGAGAAGATAAAAGTTAAATTTAAAAATAAGATCGCTAGAATTCTTTGTAATCGTAAATTGAAGCTTAGCATTAACTTCTAGTTTAATATCCTTAAACTTTTAAAGGTTATTTTGGTTAGCAACTATTTACATTATTCTAAATACTAAATTTTTCTTCCTTAGATTATTTTGCTTTGATTCCAATCTATCATCTTTGTTGTAAACGTGTGAAGAAAAAGATCAATGAATTGATCAAACTTTATGTATTGTCCATCAATTTTAGGAATTTTAGAAATGATGTCTACCGTTTATTTAATTATAAATGCAATCCTTTTACTATTAATGGTACAATATGGATTTTCTACGAGTTCCGAATTTTCCTGCATATATGATTTACCGTTTATCAATCTGAAATTTGAACAAAGCTCAAATTAATAGAAATACAATGTTACGAAAAGTAAAAATATGCC